TATATGGGAGCAGGAACGCAGTTCACGTAGATGCCTCTTGGGTATAGATCATGTCACCAGTTAGGTCATTAGGGCTGCAAGATAGCGTGTTAGCTGAAGACAAGAGAGAGTGGGAACTAACCACTAAAGAAAGATGTGAATGAGTGTCAGATGTGGTTCTAGAAACAGCCAGAGCAGCAAAGGGCTGTAGTTTATGCTTCCTATGCTCTTCTGAGTATCTCCCGGGAAGAGAGACTTACAGAGCCATGGAAGTGTTGTTCCTTGAAATTTAAGATCTGGGGAATAGATGGAAAGACACAAAGCTGGGGTAGAGTCCTAGGCATCCCTACAAGGATGGACCTGTCCTAGCTTCTGAGATTGCTGCCTACAAACTCCTCGGCTTTCTGCTTGTCACAGACTTGTCCTCCTTTACCCAATACCCCTGTCTTACTCTAGTGTGACATTCAATGTACAGTTGTGAGGTGGCTTGAGAGGCCTAGCCATTGCAGATTATCAAGGGATGACTCTATGCACCAATTTTTCCCATAATGCTCTACACACAGAGACACATACACATGTACACACACACACTCACACACACACACACACACACACACACACACATGGCTAGAACTTGTTTGGTTCACATTGAAAACTGACATGTCCCTCTTTTCTGAAGGGCTTCCTCCCCTTTGATCCTCTTTCTCTCTCCCTCCCCCTCTTGCTTCTACCTTGTTTGAGACAGGCAAGGTCTTTCTCTTTCTGCTCCTGAATACACCAGGGTAGGTGGCCTAGAGGCTTCTGGTGATTCTCTTGTCTCTGCCTCCTATCTCACTGTAGGAGCACTGGGATTGCAGACGTATGCTACTGATCCTGGCTTTATACAAATTCTGGTGATCGCGTGCATCTTCTCACACTTGTGGGACAAGAATTTAGCCACTGAGCCAACATGCCAGACCTGTAATGATCTGTTCCTAACAGAGTCTGCTGCCTTACACTGAAGTGACATACACAGAAGAAAAATCTTTCTTCCTGAAGTTTAACTCTCCTCCCTTCCTCCCTCCCTCCCTCCCTCCCTCCCTCCCTCCCCCCCCCTCCCTCCCTCCCTCCCTCCCTCCCTCCCTCCTTCCCTCCCTCCCTCCTTCCCTCCCTCCTTCCCTTCCTCCCATTTGAATTGTGCTAGCTGCCATGATGAGTGTGGGAAGCTGGGTTACATGTGATAGCTAAGCAATCTATTTTGTGGGTCAGGGGGCTCAGGAGAGGCAAAAAGAGTCTGATGAAGAGAAAAAGGTTGGGAAGAGTTGGTTGTGTCTGGGTCTCAGGGCACCTTGTAAGGCATTTTAAAGAAGGTAGATTTCATTCTATTGTCAGTAAGGATGGAATATATTTAAATAATATGATCAAACTGGAGTTAGAGTATTTTCAAGCAACTTCATATAATTTAACTCTCAAGACTATAAATCTAGTATCCAGATACAAGCAAATGCCCTGCCTTTGACAGGAATTTAAAGAATAAGGTCTTTCCTTGTTCTGATCCTAATAAAACTGCTTTGATTATCTTGCTTGAGCTAACACCTCTAAGCAGATAGGCATATATATAAGAATCTTTGTGTGTGCATGCTCTCAACATCATATAACACCACTTTGGCTTTAAGCAAAGCAAAAAGTAAAAATTAAAGAAAAAAAATCCTATCCAGTTGAATTAAAAGACACTTAGTTCCAAGACAGTGTGCTTGTTTTTGTAACAACATCCTCTGATATTTCACTTAGGTTGGGCTCCCTTTGGTGTTCATGTTTGTTTACACATCATTACTTGATGAATGGGTTGAGAAGCTGAGAAGGAAGAGTGTGGCAAGCATCCACACTCCGGGATCAATCATAATAAAGTTAACACATCTTTGAAATGATAACATAATGAGCCATTTTGTAGAAACTGCCTTCTCCAACAGCTTTTTAGGAATGTTATCTGTGACACTGGAGGGTGGTGTGTGTGTGTGCATGCGCGCGCTTGCACGTGTGTGTTTCAGAAGACAACCTTCACTATCATTCTTCATTTTCTAATGAAAAGATCTCTTACTGGCCTATTGCGGAGAGATGTCACAATGACCCCAGAAATTCGCCTGTCTCTGCCTTTGCAGGGCTGAGAAGACCACTGTGGGGACCACTCCTTGCTCTTTTATGTGGGTTCTGAGGATCAAACTCGGGTCCTTTTGCTTGCACTTTACCACTGAAGCTATCTGCCCAGTGCCCAGTGAGGGTGTTTTGGTAGACACACGAGTGTGAAAGAAGGCGGAAGACAGTGGCGCTCAGGACACAAACGACAATAAAAACCCAACAGGAGCTACAACTTAGAAACCAGTTTTACTCTGTTGCAAACAAATGGACAAGCTATTGTACAATATATAATAAAAAGTACAGCACAATACAAGTGCCACTAATAAAAGAAACTTAAAGATCAGACTTAAAAATGCTTATTTGTAATATATATATGCATATATATATACATACACACTGCAACAAAAAGCCACAATAAATACAGGAATTTCCATGTCGTTCCTAATAAATACTGAAAATATAAATACAGAGGACTACAGCTAATATGAATAAATTATTACAACATAAGATCCAGGATAAATTCTGTTGAATATCATTGTAGCTTATCTTATATCCCCTTTGGCATCTTTGATGTCATAACTTGTACACAAGAAAAGTCAGTTTAGAAACTGTGACACACGGCATGACATCGTGCGGTAAAATGACTGTATGGATGGCAGTCTGGTTTTCTTCCCTTTCAACCTTACAAGTCATCAGAATGCACATCCCAGCAATGAAGTTGCTAGTGAAGATCTACTGGATAAAAGCAATGATACAAGTCAGTTGAAAGAGAAAATTCAATCAACCAATGTCAAAATGTACTTTATAGACCTGTGGCTTTTCTAGGTTTTCAGTGATGCATGTTCCCCCTGCTAGCTTCCAACAGGCCAAAAAAAAAAAAAAAAAAA